CCCCGGCAGCCGGAGCGGCGGCGGGAAGAGGAGGAGGAGGAGGAGGAGGAGGAAGGCCAGCGGCGGCCATGGAGGAGTGGAGGCAGTGCGGCCGCTGGCTCATCGACTGCAAAGTGCTGCCCGCCAACCACCGCGTCGTGTGGCCCTCGGCCGTGGTCTTCGACCTGGCGCAGGCGCTGCGGGGCTGGGTGCTGCTCTGCCAGCTGCTGCACAACCTCTCGCCGGGCTCCGTGGACCTCAAGGACATCAACTTCAGGCCGCAGATGTCCCAGGTAGGACGGGGCGGCCGCCGCGGAACTTCGCGGGGCGCGCGCGTGCGGATATAGGCGCCTATAGGCGCCTCTGTGTGTGAGTCCACGCGCTTCGTCTCCCCACTCCCGTCCGTGGCCCCGTTATCCCAAACAAAAGCGCCTCGGGGTGCAGAGCTGCTCCCCGCTGCGGCCCTTAGACGTGTGGCCTGGGGGGAAGCTCCTCCGCGCTGTCCCGGGGGATCCCGGCCTCGGGGCGCGCTTTTCCCGGGAGATATTCCTTTTTTCCCACCCTTCCCATAGGGTCCGGGAGGGGGCTGGAGCCGGCAGCCCCCGCCTGACCGGAGCGTTGAGTTCAGCAACTCCGGGGCTTCGTCCCTGGAAAGGTTCCCTGCTGCTCTTTGTGTTGGTGGAAAGGGGCTTAAACAAACAGAAATCGGCTCCAGTTGCTGTCGTTCTAAATGCTTTGCTCTTATTTATTTATTTTATCTCTCTCTCTTTTTTTTTTTTTTCTTTTGCGATGCGATCTGAGTGTCATTTGCATGGGAATGGGGAAGTGAAATCAGTTAGAAACAAATGAAGTTGGGCAGCTGGTCCTCCCTGCCCCACCACCCGCGTGGTGACGAGCGAGCAGTGAACTTAGTGTCCCCTCCTAAGGACGCCAGGTGAAAGGGAGGGCAGCTCTCCTGGTAGCAAGGACGTCCCAGGCTCTGCTTAACTTTATCAAAGCATTCAAAGGTAAATAATGTATAATGCTATCTCGGCTTCTAAATACACTCCCTGCAAACGTGCTGCCTCTTTCCCGGGAGTTTTGCCCAGCACATGAGTGCTGGGGACGTGGGGACGGAGCTGCTGGCTCCTGAGGTCAAAGACCCAGGTGATCCAGGTGGGAAGCCCTGGCTCCACAGCTGGAAGTGCAGATCAGCCTATGCAGGTTCTTGTGTTGGTGCTCGTTAGGAGTAGCTAACAACTCCGGGTGGCTTTTCCAGGATGGAGCAATGCTGTGCGGCTTCCAGCCTTTGAACTGGCCCAAGAAGCTGCTGCTTCCAAACAGAAAGTGTCAGGCGGGAGCAATAACTGTGCACAGACTCAAATGTCTGCAAAGCATGCTGAGAATAACCTACTATGCATTATTTTTTATTTTGAGCAGATACTATAGCCCTACAGATCCACTTCCAGTGAATATCTGCCCTGTGGGGAATTGAGGGTGGGTTTGAAATGCTGGTGGGAGTCTAGTGAAGGTCCCATTTGGCAAGAAGCTCTTGCTGAGGCCTCAGGGCAGGTGTTTGCACTTGGGGAGGAATTTGCAGCCCAGCTGCAGCTCATGAAGCCACTTGCTGCCTGCAGCACCTGAGGGCTCGTGGGGCTGGGGTGGCCTTGCCCAGAGCTGAACCGGGCGGCCTTGCTGGTCAGCTCGCCTGGAACCTGCTTTTCCAAGCAGACCTGCAGAACCTGGTCATGGACGGCCCTGGGATGGAGCTGGATGGGACCTCGCAGGGAAGCTGCCCTGGAGAGCAGGTGCTACTTCCCTGTCTGCCCTGGGCTCCAAATCCTCCTCAGTGCTGTTCTGAGTCCTCATATGTGCGCTTGTGTATTTGGGATTTCATGTTTACCTCCTGAATTTGGGAGCCTGGGACTCCTTGCCCAAGGAGAGCTAAAGATCAGCTGTCCCTCGCCCCGGGGACGCTCTCTGAGTGCCCCGATGCCCCGGGCAGGATGCTCACGTGGGCTCGAAGCCTCCAGCGCTGCTCCCTGCTTCATCCCGCTCAGTGTTTGAAGTGGGGCTGTGCCCACTCATAACAGCGTTTTGCCCTAGGGGAGCATCAATTCAAACACCAGAGGTGAATTTGTGCCTCTCTGCACAGAAAATGCTCTAGGATCAAGCTGCTGCAGTGTCCTTCAGTTTGCTTTTTCAAGCCTGATTCCAGAGGTTCAGCTCCTCTGGTCCTCAGTGGTCCCTGCTAGGATAAGCTGATCCCGTCTGCTCATCAGCCCAAAGTTGCTCAACCTCAGCAGAGAGGAACAAAACATGCAGGAAAATAACCCAGCCCGTTTAGGGCTTGTTTTCTGCTAATTGCTTTTGCTGCAGCTGCTGATTGTGAAGAGGCGGGAGGTGGAGTCGGTGTCCTTGCCCTCAGTATTTACTGATTATTGTGCCTATTACTGTGATTGGATTTTGGGGGACGTTTCAAGCTGTTTTGTCAGCTCATAAACCACAAGTGATGCAAGGGGCAGCTTGATTTGTGAGTGTGAGCAGATGCAGCACCCCTCGGGCTTGTGATCCTTGGGTCCCCTGTGCACAACTTCCCGTATCGCGTTTCTCCCTGCTCCGAATCATCGCTCTCCTTCCTCCATCCCTTCCCAAAGCAGCTCCAGGACCCTCATTCTCCCCCTGTGTTGCCCTCCGTATTCCCTGAACCTGGCACAGTTTTCCCGGCCTCTGGCACCACAGCTGCCTCCCTTGTACCCGTGTTCCCTCCATGACAGAGATGGAGACTTGGGAGCTTTGGATTTTCATTGGTAATTAGGTTGGAATTGTAATTTTGTCAAGCCTTTGAGGGAGGACAAGTAAAATGTTTTTTTTATATTGTGGCAGGGTTTTTACTGCAGATTTGGGTGAGGTTGACTCTCTTTTCCATTTGTTTGTGATAAAATTGATCTTCCCTAACCAGGATGTAGACAGATGGAAACTAATATGTTTATCAAAGCAGCTGTGCCCTTTTAGGGCTTGATCATCCAGTTGGCTGAGACCGTAAGACTCTAAGTAATGTTACAGCTATCCCTCCTGCAGGGTTGTCCTGGGCACTGCTAAATACTTATGTTTTTTGTTGCTTCTGAGTCTCCTGGATATCCGAATTTATGCTGCCATATACATATGTGTGTGCATATGTGTGCCCAGACCTTTCTTCAAGTTAGCAGTAATGATCTGCTCATTAAGAATTCTTCTTTTGGTGCGTGTGAGCATCTCTCTATAGATAATTCATCTCCGCCTGCAGCACACAGAGGTTTTATTTGGGCTCTTGAGACTGATGAGATACAACAAACCTAATTGGCACGATGATTTGGCTGCCCACCGTTCTGCTTGTGATGTTAATAGGGAAACACGCAGAAAGCCGCCTCGGCACCGAGCTGTCAGGAGGCTTCGTGGTTGCTGTTTCTCCTTTCTATCTGGAGGATGGATATAAAATAATGTGATATCGAGGTGCTGCTTGTTGGTGATGCGGCACCCGCTTGCGGTGACACCGCGGTGCAGGTGGCCGGTGCCGCTGCCTCCCCCTGGTACTGCAGATTGGGGCACGTTGGCGTGTTTGGCGCTCGCAGTTGCTCACAGGGCCTTGGGGCTTTAGCAAGCTTGCGAGCTTTGGAGCTACAACACTGGTAATTGCTTCCATATGTCCTGATAGCAGCTAAATATAACTCGGTTTTATCAGAACTGACTTGTCTCCCGAGCAGTCGAGGAGCTCGCTGCCGAGGCAGAAGGCTGAGACCGTGCCCTGTTGTCACACGTGTGGTTTTTTCCACCTCGACAATGCAGCCCCTCTGCTTGTCACTTTGTCCCCAGGCAGGATAACTCTTTGGCTAAAGACCATAAGCGTCCCGTCCTTTTGGGTCCTGGAGAAGGGGGAAATGGTACCTTGTGTTTTCTCATGCATCGGGTGTTGTAGCTGCCTTCGGGCTTACCCTGCTCCGCTCCTCTTGCCTTGTATTTACTCTCTGCTTCTCAAAGTCAAGTTCTGTTCCAAGGAAGGCTATAAAAAATGGCCTCGCTGCGTATCCCTGTTTACTGTGTCTCAGTGACTTCCCGTTCGGATGTGCGAAGCTTTCCAAAGGAAGAAAAAGGTGCTCTGGCTTTTACAGCCCAGCTCGCGAGCCCGCTGCAAACAAGAGCCGCTTGTTGTCTCGCTTCCCAGCCCCCTCGACGTCCCCTGTGACGTTGCAAGGCAGCAAATGCCAAATAGCACCCGAAATCCTCGCCTTGCCCTGCTCTTGCAGTTTGAGGTTGCGAGATGCAATTTAAGCAGCAGCTGCAGGCGATTATGTCTTCTGCTGGGGCAGTGCAGGGTGTTGGATGGATCCGTCCAGCTGTGATGGAGGGATGAGCAGGAGCGCGGTGTTCCCATTCCCCTCCACCACCCGCCGAGCGTCGCATACCTGCATTAAGCACCTGGCAGGAGCGCGATCGGGAATGAATAGCAGCCTTTCAAGATCCGGAGCCAGAAAGCCCGGTGAATTTGATCGCTGTTCGAGGTGGGCCCAGCCTTGGGAGCTGCCTGTGCTCTCGGCAGCGTGTTGATGAGCTGCAGGAAGGGCTTGGCTTGCCCAGCCTTCTTGGTAGCATCTCCCCGTGCCAAGAAACGGGTGCCTCATGGCGGAGAAGCGGGAGATTTCCTGGCGTTGGCTCTTGCTCCGTGGCTGCGGACGCCTCGGAGTCAGGGGCTGGGGGGAAGCTGAACCAAGCGGGTTCGAGCAGCAGAATTTGGGGCATCGGTACCGGGTCCTCTTGGGTGGCCAGAGACAGGCCCGAGCATCCCAACCTTCCCTGTGCGGCTGGATGGGGCCGGTCCCCAGTGCCATATCCAGGGATACAGGAGGTACCGGCATTGTTGCCCCGGAGCCCCTGCTCCCTCCAGCCTGCCCGGAGCCAGGCGAGTCCCCATCTCTGGCACCTTCGGGAATATTGCTCAAGACTGACCCGAGGGCGAGTTTTTGGTCTGCTGCTTTGTCCCTTCTTAAAGAGCCAAACCTTCTGCTTTCCTGTGTTCCCTTGCCCTGCGCTTCTTCCTTCCACTCCCCCTCCCCGATCCTGTAGCTAAGTGTCTTTTGCTATTCCCATTTGCACAGAGATCGAGGGACTCCAATGTCTCTGTGGTCACTGAAGAGGGGGATTTCGGGATGTGGAACGGATCCCGATTAATCCCTGGGCACTTCCCTTGCCCTGTGCTTTGCGTGGGCTCTGTGGGCTCCTTTCCCTGCTCCCTGGATTGCAGCCGCTTCCTTACTCCAAGGCTTGTTTCCTCCCCCAA